CCTTGTATGTCTGGTGCATGTGAAGAATCGACAATAAAGCTGACTTTGACTTTCAATTACATCACTGTGCGTTAAATACGGACCGTGTTTAGTGTTTAAGTTAACATAAAGACTGGAAAGAAGACATACATCTAACCTTGCTTTGTCCAAAGTAAAAAAAAAAAAGCCTACCAAATATCTGTGTCCAACACCATGTCTGAGAAGATAGTTGAACTTTGGACTGCTAATTCCCCACGTTTCCTCTGCTTATGCTAAGCTAAGCTAATCACCTTCTGGCTCTAAACTTGAGGCTCAGATGAGAGAGGTATTAGCCTGTTAGCAAGAAAGCAGTATTAGTATATGTGTATTTCTCAAAATGTCAAACTCAGGCTTTAGAGTCGGTAGTTTTCTGCTCCTCTCCTCTATCTCTTTTCATACCCCCTCCTTCCTTCTCTAAGCTTCTTCATGTATTCTCCTCTTTCCATTCTCATCCTCGTCCTTTTCACCTCGCCTCCCCTCGAAGCTTTTCTCTTCACGGCTTGCTTCTTGTTCACCTTCCTTCTCCGTCTCCTCTCCTTTCTTTATCTCTCTGCTTATCTCTCCATTTCCCCCTTTGCCCTCCCCTCCTCCCTTCTCCTCTCTCAGCTTTCATTTTTTCTCCTCTCTTCTCTTCAGACCAGCGAAAATGTAAATAACCCACAATGTAGCCCTGTGCCTTCAAAAGCGCATTAACCCATAAGAGGCGAAACCCGAAACCCAAACTTTCCATCAAAACAACCCTCCAATAAATAAATTCATTGGAAGACTAAATAACACATCTTTGCCCCTTTCTCTCTCTCAAGTCTCAGTGACTTTGCTGACTTGGCACACATGCATAGATGATTGCCTTTGTCAGTGTGTCTGTGGTTGCACATATGAGCATGCATTTGCATAATTTAGAGATTTATTATGGTGCAAATAATGTGAGAGAGAAGTAGTGAGCAAGACAGCCCGTTCCTTCTCTTCCTCAGCTTTTCAGTGCAGTGAGCTTAGTTATACATTATGCACAGTTCTGCATCTTTAAAATAATCTTCTTTGTGCCCGTTGCCCTGCAGAGTCTGTGAGGCTCGACTGCGGTGATATCAGCTAGAAATATGAATCCCTCCATCGCCATCTGATTCAGTACCAATCTCAACATGTTATTTTTATATTTTTGAGACCACAATTCTTGAAACAATTTGTTGTTGGCTGTGTTTTGACAAGAATTTTGCAGTGATGGCAGCAGATCCTTTACTTAAAAATACCACAGGGTAAAAATACTCCATTGCAAGTGAAAGTCCTGCATTTAAAATTGTACTTAAGTAAAAGCACAAAAGAATTATCAGCTCAATTTACTTAAAATATTGAAAGTACTCCTTTATGAAGAAAATCAGCCCGTCTGACAGATACATTATTAAACCTTACATTATTAATATTGATGCATATAAACAGTATTTCTCTGTTACAGCCAGTTGAAGTGGAGCTGGTTTTATGTACAGTTTTAATCAAGTGGTGGCCAACCTCGGGGTCAGGCCCCTCCAATGGGTCAGAAACTAAATCTGACGGGTCATGAGACGATTAATGGGAGAAGGAAGAAGAAAAACAGCGTTGTGCTACATAAATTTGAATTGAGTTTTATCTCTCTGGGCCTCGGAAAAACCATCTGAGAAGTTTAGAAGGGGAAATGTGTCTACGGGGGAAAAACTAACAACTAACTTGACATCTGAAATGTGACAAGGGACCCCAACTGGACACAGCTTTTTATAAGGTTGAGAAATACTGGTTAAACACTGGTTCAAAACAAATGTATATCACTCACTAAGCAAATGTTAAGAGTACAGGAGGTGAGGAAAAAGTATGAGTCATAGTCTACAGATGACATAATTTGTTGGTGTTTGACAGCTTGAAAAGGTGATGAAAAAGTGTTTAGTTTGTACTTTAAAGTTCCCCTCTCACTTTAAGTTACCACTTTTTAAAGCTGCTCTATGTTTATGTAAACAAATGATGACATGACTATGTGTAGTGAAAGTGGTCGCTCATTGTCACAGACCTACAGAGAATTATTACCGGACTCAGAAGTTTCCATCAACTCTACAGAAAGCTTTAGCGTCTTTCAGTTCATAGTTTTGGTTTTTGGACCACAACTTTACCGTCACGGTTCA